CCTGATGGCCCTCTGGCCCCGGGGATGTGCAGTGCAGGGCCAGGGCAGGCTGGCGGGGTAGGCGGATGCTGGGGAACAGACAAGCCAGCTCAACTTTCCTGGCCCTGTGCCCACGGTGTGCACAGCTCTCAGCGCGGGCTGGAGGGCCAAGGTCACTAGGCCAGCAGCATTCTGCATCTGACTCCTGGGGAAGGATACAGCTGGCCTGTTCCCCAGCATGACCATTGCTGTTGCTGGTCCCCTTCTGTGTCTCTCTCCCCTCCCCTAAGACAGGATGCTTCTCTGGTCCCAGATGAAACAAGTCACCTGAGCCCCTGCCTTTTCCAAAATGCCTGCAGACACTGCCAGCCATAGGTCAGCGCCTGAGCAGCCTGGCTCACAGAACCAGCCTGGGGCGGCAGAGGCTTTCTGAGTCAGCTGGGGTGGGGGCAGAGGAGACCGCTGGCAGCCCTGGGGAGTGCCTGACCCTTCCAGCCCTCGGGCACCTGAGGCCCTGCCCTGCAGACGGCCCTGTGGGGTCAGGGAAGCCCAAGCGTGTGGGACAGCAGCACTGGCCAGGACACCATCCAGATTAGGTGCTGGAGCTCCTGGTCAGCCCCTGGCATGCCCTGCCCTGCCCTCCCAGAGCACCGTCTGGTGGGATCCTGAAGCCTTCAGTCAGATCTTCCTTGTTCTACCAAGGAGGGGAGGCCGGGCTGGTATTCAGAGCAGGCAGCGTGGCCCCAGTCTCATTTTCACGTGGGCAGCCTGGTTCCAGTCCCTGCCACGTGTGGGGTTCCGGGCAGAGTCTGGCGCTGAGTCCCGCTGGGGTGGGCTGGGCCTGGCCCCAGCAACCACATGCGATTTGTTCCTCTTGTCTGTTTGCCCCCGTCATGCCTCCCTCCTTTCTTCCCTCCCTCCTCCTCTCTCTCAACCCTCTTCAGTTGTGCACTGGACGTTCCTTCTCTAGTTTCGAGCATGACCATAGAGCTCTAGGTCTCACTCCTCTTCACTGTGTATCTGGAGGGAACAGGGGCCGATCCTAGCATGAGCTCACTCATCCGTGTTGTCCCACGAGTCCCGGGATCCCTCGCCCATCTCCTAATTGCCCACTTAGCACCGAGAACACACATCATAGGCCTCCAGTCCCGGACCCGTCAGTAACCAGCCGGTGATGGCAACAAGCCCCTTCCCCTCTCTGGGTCTCCTTTTGGTCTGTAAACTGGGGGAGTTGGAGGAAGGGATGGGGAAGATGGGAGCAGCAGGCTGCTGGGGATCAGGGACAGCCCCATTTCTGTGGCATCTGGAATTTAATCCTTAGCAAGAAGACTTGCTGCCCCTCCTCATGCCCATGGGGGAACAGACAGCCCCTTGTCATGGAGACAGATGGAGAAGCCGAGTCGGAAGTAACTAGGTTCTAGTCCCACCTTGTGCCTCTCTGGCTATGTGACCGGGAGCAAAAGGTGATCCTTGAACTTCAGTTTCTTTACCAGTGACATGAGACAGCAATGTCTTCCTCCCTGAAGGGAGAGGAGCTATTCTGAGGAAGTTGTGAGGTACTGTGGACAAAAAACACTTTTCACAACTAAAATCCAGTGTGCATGCAAAATGTTATCACTTTGCACAGGTTGGGCTCCCTGAGAAGCAGATTCTGAGCCATGTGGAGTGTTCTGGAGGTTACCAAGAAAAGCCCTTGGGATCAGCACCTCTGGAAGGGGCTGGGGGGAGCAGGATGGGGCAGAGGGAAGCGGGGCTGTATGTAGTCCTCAAAGCCTCAGCCGACCCCGTGGGAAGCTCTGGAGTTCAGATGTCCCCTCTGCACTGTCCTGCACTAGTCCACAATGGTTGGACTTTTCTATTCCCTCATCCCTATGTGAGGGCATCTCTGGCAGGCAGGACCGTGGGCGAGGCGGCTCTCTCTGGATGAGACTTTCTGCCTGATGCAGCCGACAGCTCTGCCAGCAGGTGGGACAAGTCTTTTCTTGACGGAAGGTCCGGGGCGGAGCAGAGTGGGGGGCGTCCTCCTCCATGCCCATCTGTTTACGGTTGTCACTTACACGGTCGTACCTAATGTTCAGGCTGTCCTGATCAAAGACTTGATATTACAGGGGTCCTGACATTCTGGAACTATTTGTTAGTTCTTGCTACGCATTTTAGATTCATGACTTCAGTCTTTAATATCTGAGAAAAGAATGGGAAATTCCTCTGCGGTCTGCTGTGGGGTCCGGAAAACTTTCCCACCTGGCTTGCCTGGGAGCAAAAGGCAGTCTGCTGGAACTGGCTATAGACAGGAAACAAAACTGGTGAACTGATTTAATTAAAAATGCTACACGTGTGTGTGTGTGTGCGTGCGTGAGGGTGCACATGTGGAGATATGTCTGCCTCTGAGCGTGCATGGGGACCTGGACAGAGAGAGGCTGCAGGGGCAGGTGTCTGAGCTCAACCCGCCCACAGGAGCTGCAGGTGGGCTTCTGAGGAGGTCCGTGTGCGTGTAGACGGCATTCATTCACTCACTCTCCCAGTTCCTTAAGAAGCAGCTCCGATGGGCCGGACACCATGCTGGGAACTGGGGAATAAGAACGAGTGATGCAGTCTCTGCCTCGGGCGGCTTATCGTCTCCTGGGGAGACAGACGATTCAGTGTGGGCGTTTGGGGTACAGTGCGGTAAGAGCACTAGCCGGGCACCACGGGAGCTCCCGGTGGGGACCCAAGTCAGACTGGGGGAGCAAAGGCCGATGTGAGGTCTTCCCTGGGACAGGAGAGCCTGCCGCTGGGTGGTGGATGCCAAGCAGGGGTTCCTCAGGGGATGATGATGGGGAAGGACTGAGGATAGGAACTTCCATGTGGAGAGAGAACAGACAGGGAAGGAGGTCAGAGGAGTAACAGGAAGGGTGGGTCAGAGGACAGAGAGGTTGGTGCGGATGTAAGGGGGGCCTTATGCTTCTGGGGCGGGGGTGGGGGATGCAAATGTGCTTGTGACTGGGGAGTGGACAGCCCTAGTTCCATCCTAGCGGGGCTCTCTGGCAGCGGTGGGGGGCAGTGGAGGCAGAGGGTGGCAGGGCCCGGATGTGTGCCTGTGCCCGTGTTTGTGAGGTTGTACACACGTGACTGAGCACATCTGGAGTGCACCAGGTGTGCGGCCCCTGCGGAATTGTTTTCCACTTCCCCCTTCTGACCTCGGCAGCCTCGTGGGCCCAAGGGGACGGCTGTCCCCCTGCTGACTCACGAGTGAGGGCCGCAGCGGGGAATCGGTCAGGGGCCAGCCAGCAGTTGTTTCCTCGAGGGCGCCGTCCCACCCCTGCCCCCTGGGCTAACAGGGAGGTGCCCGGGGGGCGGGCAGGGAGTGAATGGGCTGTTCTGTCCATGCAGAGCACCCCACTTTCTGGGTGAGGCTGGGCTGGCGGCCAGTGCCTGGCCCAGGCCCATACATCTGGGGGGACAGCATCCCCTGGGTGGGCAGGGGTTGCCATGGGTCAGCTTCCCTAATTGGGTCTCCCCTCTCTGGCTACCCACTCTTCCAAGTGCTGAAGTCATATATTTTGATCTTAATTGTCTAATAATATGCTTAACTGTACTATCCCGCCTCTTGAAAATTTATGACCAATAAAAAAAAGTGCCATTTATCACATTTCTTTAGCCCTTAATGTAGGTCACAGGAAAGGAAGGGGCCTTTGCTTCTGTAATAGTGTAAGGTCTCAGAACAGTGTGTGAGTGATTATGAACTCAGAGTTTAGAGTCCAAATTTCAACGCTACACTTTCTATGTAAGCTACTTATTTTCTTTGTGGCTCAGTTTTTTCATCCCTAAGACAGAGATGATAAAATCTCATAAGATTAAAGGTGTAAAGTGCTTAGAACAGTGATGGATGTACAATAAATATTCAGCTCTAAATCTTAGCTATTACTATGTGGGTTTGAATTCTCCTGGGTGTAAACCTAACTGATGTGATGAAAAGTTGTGACCTTTTTGGGTCTCATCTGCAAAAAGGAAGTGTTGGCCAATCTTTTATTCCCAAGGACCAATACCTGTCCCCCACTAACTTGTTCTTGTTCTGACATACATCTTTGCTTTTGAAAGATTTTGCTTGCCAAACATCATTTGTTAAATAATAATCTGTACGTCCTGAGGTTTCTCATAAACTTATAAAATACTGAGATTTCCCAAAGTTCTTACTGAGAGGGTCTGGATCAGGAGAGATGATGTGTGAGCCCCGCCCCCCCAACTCCTGCTCCCTCCGGGTTCACATATTGGCATCTCCAAGCAAGAAACAAGTGCCTTCAGATATTTTGGGCCATAGAACAGGTAACCCGGTTGACCCTGAACTAGAAGATGCTTCTCATTGGCTTCTGGAGTGCCCTGGTGTCAATGTATTTCGTAGTTATCATTCTGAGTAGCATGTATGCCAGCCAAGCTAGGAGACAGGACTGTCGTGATTCCCTGAAGGGCTATACCCAGATTCCCTGAAGGGCTATACCCAGAAATCCAAGGGTGAGTTACTGTGGCTGGGAAAGGCCATTGTTATGGGGACTGATGTTCTGGTCTCATGAGTCCTACGTACCAGTACTTTCTATACATTGAAATGTATAGAATTTGAAATTCTATAGCTCTATATAGCTCTTGAAATTTTCATAATAATCTTCCAAGACAGTTCTTACCATTCCCAATGACCAGATGATACAACTACAGCTCAGAGATGTGATTAGGCCAAGTTCAACTGGCTAGAAATGGCAGCCTTGGGGAGTCTTTCTCTCAGATAAGGAATCACGTAATTCTGACTTTCCTCTGAAGCAGTAATCATATCACTTGTTGGTGAGGAAACTGAGGCCCAGCAAAGTTAAGGGACTTTTCCATAGTCAGAGAGCTAAGAATCAGCCAAGTGGGAACCGGCTCCAACACGAAGGCTCTTTCTTCTCCAGTGGCTGGCAGCAGGCGAGCGGGGGTTGCCCCCACTCTGGCACCCAGGGTGGCCTGTTGGGGAGGCCTTAGTCCTCAGTGGCTTTGTCAGGCAGGGCGAGCCTTACCTTGGATGTCATCGTTGAACATGCAGTACTTGTTGCGGTATTTGTGGAGCAGGCGGAAGGCATTGGCATTGGCAAAGTCCTCAAACTGGATGAGGCAATTTATTCCAAACCTGTAGGTGGGGAAAGGGAAGAATTCGTGATTGCCTTCCCACAGCCAGTCCCTGGCAGATCCCAGCCTGCCCTGGGGAGTGAGCAGGCACTGGACAAGAGGTAGTGGGGCTGGCATGGCTCCTGGACTGGGGTTCTTTGCCATCTGGCTGGCTCCTGGACCCCTGGGTTCTACCTGCCCCATTATGGATGAGGATCGGGATGGGAGAGAGCAGGAACGCCAGGCCTGGTGGTCCTCTGAGCCCCTAGCCCTGACTCTAATGTAGGCTGGGGCTACCATGAGCTATGGATGGCAGACCTCGGCGGGTGATGGAAAGACTGAAATGGGGCCTGCCCTTCTGGGGGTCTGCAGCCATCTGAAATCCCAGGAGCAAGATCACTCCCACCCAAGTGCATGCAGAGACCTCAACTTCCCAACCACTGGGGCCTGGAGAGCTCTGCAGCCTGCAGGTGTTTCTCCGGGTCTGAGACCGGGAGCTCCTCCACTAGAGACTCTGCTGGGTTCAGGTATTGTGTCCTCGTTCAGATGCAGGAAGGCTGGTAAAGGCCACTACATGAAGCCACTGTCATCTCCCCACCCTTTAATAGGGGTGTTGGCCAACTTATAGGGACACATGAATCAGTTCGTGACCTTATTCGAAATACAGAGCCCAGGATCATCTGCCAGAGCTTCTCACTCAGGGAGTTAGGGGCACAGCTCGGAAATGTACCTTAATTCCCTCCACCTTTATTGTGGTAGAATTGACAAGTAACAATCATCTATTTAAGCTGTACAGTGGCATACTGTGATACATGTATACATTGTGCGGTCATGACCACCCCCAGATTGGATTCTGACCATCCAGAAGTTTGGAGAAATCCTGCCTTTGTGGGTGAAGGCCTTGCCTATTAAGCTGCTTGACAGGCCTTATTCAAAATCTATCCTACAGTTAACTCTTAGACTTCAGGGTCAGGGAAAAGTCCGTATTTCCTACAAAGCCACTGTATCCGTAACCCCTTTTTCCTGTTGACGCTGTGAGACTGCTGAGCACTTGGTTTTCTGCTCCTGTGCTGTGGGTAACCTCAGCCTGCCCTTCTGCACACACCCGTCCCCTGACTCCATTCTTGCTCTTGGTCCTCATTGTGAGAGTTTCGTTCTACTGTGCCTTTTATTGGAAACAAGCACGGCACAAATTATTAGAAATTACCTAATACATAGACATATATACATCGGTCCATTTGTGTCTAACAGTATCTGAGTTCATGTTCATTGAGAAAAAGTGCCCTGATTTATCAGCTAGGAGTGCTCGGGCAAGGGATAGAGAGAAGGGGTCTGCCACTCCCCACCTGGTGTGAACCAGAGGCTTAGGACTAATGTGGGACCTGAAAAGATTTATGCCTCCTGCTAGCTGGGGCACGCAGCTGGGGGGCTCCCTGTGCTACTGGGGGCATGCTTCCGATGAGTCTGGTGGCTATGAGGGGTGCGTAGTACTGAATTAGCCCAGAAGCTTCTTTTTCAAACTCCTAATTTTGTGCCTGGCTTACCCTGCATGATAGAAATCCAGCGGCAGGTAAATACTTTCTCCTTCCACGGTCCTTCCAGAATCTTAGTGAGTTGAAGCTGTTGGGGGGAGGACTTGGAGGTGGGTTCATGTGACAGGGGCAGACATGAAGAGACTGTGACTTCCATGGTCAAGGTACTAACAGTGCTGGGCATGGGTCAGCAGGTTGGTGTGCCTGATCTCGTTCAGAGTGGTCTGACACCTGTCACTTCACTCCTCAATTCTGCCTCAGTTTTCCATCTGTTATTGGGCACAGTCATGTCTGCCTGGGCAACTGCCGTGGGCTCTTGTGAGCATGAAAACTGGGGTGATTTTTAGTTGTGACGTGCAAAACACACATGTGCTCTTGGCAACAATTCTCCTTCACAGTCACAGAGCAAGGGCTATTTGGGGTGAGGAGAGGGGCTTGCTATCTCTCCAGACCCACCATCCGGCCCCCCTGCTCCTATACAGTGGAAAAAACTGAAAAAGAAAACCCCCTGTGCACAAACCTAATGCTATTCTTGCTGAGCCAAAATTTACTGTGAATTTTTTTTCCAGGGTGTGAATTTCAAGTATTTGGTTTGGGAGGGGGACAGAATGTCTTTGGTTGCTGGTGACATTTTGCTATATATAATCCTCACAAGATGCCCAGTGTTGCCCCATGACTGGCCTGGAGCTAAAATTCTGAAAAGGTCAGACAACAAAGCAATGGGATGCACGTTCTTTCTGTCTTTCTCTCTCTCTCTTATACACACACACTTGACCTTTAAGCAACACTACTCTGAGGTAAAAATAAGGCAAGAATTAGAAATAAATACCTTTGTTCAGTGCACTATTACTCTTTCATGTTAAACTTAGTTTTTTAGGAGTAAATTTTTATCTTACTTTTTATTTTTTACTTTTAAATTTATTTTTTAATTCCTGTGTCGTTAACACGCAGTGTTATATTAGTTTCAGATGTATAATGCAGTGATTAAACAATTCTATCCATTACTCAGAGCTCATCAAGATAACTGTACTCTTAATCCCCTTCACCTATTTTACATATCCCGCCCCTCCCCACCTCCGCTCTGGTAACCACCAATTTGTTCTCTGTAGTTAAGAGTCTGTTCTTTGGTTTGTCTCTTTTTTAGCCCGTTGTTCACTTGTTTTGTTTCTTAAATTCCACATGAGTGAAATCGTGTGGTATTTGTCTTTCTCTGACTGGCTTCTTTTGCGGAGTGTCCTCCTCTTTTGCTCCATCCATGTTGTCGCAAACAGCAAGATTTCTTTCTTTTTTTTCGTGGCTGAATAATACTGCATTGTGTATGCAGACCACACCATCTACCGATGGATACTTGGGCTGCTTCCATAATATGGCTGCTGTAAAGAACACTGCAATAAATATAGAGGTGCATGTATCCTTTTGAATTAGTGTTTTCATATTCTTTGGGTAGATACTCAGCAGTGTGATGACTGGGTCATAGGGTAGTTCTATTTTTAATTTTTTGAGGAACCTCCATACTGTCTTCCACAGTGGCTGCACCAGTTTGCATTCCCACCAACAGTGCCCTAAGGTTCCTTTTTCTCCGCATCCTTGCCAGCACTTGTTTCTTGAGTTTTTAATCTTAATGATTCTGACAGGTGTGAGGTGATATCCCATTGTGGTTTTGATTTGCATTGCCCTGAAGATGAGTGATGTTGAACATCTTTTCATGTGTCTGTTGGTCATCTGTGTGTCTTCTTTGGAGAAATGTCTGTTCATTTCTTCTTCCCATTTTTTACTTGGATTATTTATTCATTTTTTTGGTGTTAAGTTGTATAAGTTCTTCATGTATTTTGGATACTAACCCTTTATCAGATAGGTCATTTACACATACCGTCCCCCATTCTCCCATAGGTTGTCTTTTAGTTTTGTTGGTTGTTTCTTCTGCTGTGCAGAAGCTTTTCATTTTGATCTAGTCCTAAGACTTTATTTTTTGCTTTTGTTTCTCTTGCCTCAGGAGACATATCTAGAAAGAAGTTGCTTTGACTGATGTCAGAGAAATTACTGCCTGTATTATCTTCTAGGATTTTTATGGTTTCAGGTCTGACACTTAGATTCTTACTCTATTTGGGGATTATTTTTGTGTATGGTATAAGGACGTGGTCCAGTTTCATTCTTTTGCATGTGCCTGTCCAGTTTTCCCAACACCATTTGTTGATAAAACTGTCTTTTTACCACTGGATATTCTTACCTGCTTTGTGGAAGATTATCTGATTATGTAATTGGGGGTTTATTGATGGTCTTTCTGTTCTGTTTTATTGATGTGTCTATTTTTTTTTTTTTTTTGCCAGTACCATACATACTGTTCTGATTACTACAGCTTTGTAATATATCTTGAAGTCTGGAATTGTGTTACCTTCAGTTTTTTTTTTTTTTTTTAAAGATTGTTTTGGCTATTTTAGGATTGTTTATTCTAGTTCTGTAAAAATTTTAGGATTGCTTTTTCTAGTTCTGTAATTTAGGATTCCCTACAAATTTTAGGATTTTTTTTTCTAGTTCTATAAAAAACATTGCTGCTATTTTGATAGGGAATGCATTAAATCTGTAGATGGCTTTGGGTACTATAGACATTTCAACATTATGTTCCTCCAATCCATGATATGGAATGTCTTTCCATTTCTTTCTGTTGTCTTCAGTTTCTTCCATCAATGTTTTATAGTTTTCAGAGTATAGGTCTTTCACCTCTTGGGGTAAGTTTATTCTTAGGTGTTTTATTCTTTTTAGTGCAGTTGTTAATGGGATTATTTTCTTAATTTCTCTTTCTGTTGCTTCATTAGCAGTGTATAGAAATGCTACAGATTTCTGTACATTGTTTTTGCATTCTATGACTTCACTGAATTCATTTATTAGGTTCTGGTAGTTTCTTGGTGGAGTCTTTAGGGTTTTCTACATCTAGTACCATGTCATCTGCCAATAGTGGAAGTTTTACTTCTTCCTTACCAAAATGGTTGCCTTTTATTTCTTCTTCTTGTCCGATGGCTGTGGCTAGGACTATGTTGAATAAAAGTGGTGAGACTGGATATCCTTGTCTTGTTCCTGACCTTGGGGGAAGAGTTCTCAGTTTTCCCCCACTGAGTATGCTGTTAGCTGTGGGTTTTCATATTTGTCCTTTATTATGTTGAGGTATATTCCCTCTAAGTTTAGTTTGTTGAGGTTTCTTTATCATAAATGAATGTTGTACTTTGTCAACAGCTTTTTCTGCATAACTACTGAAATAATCATGGTTTTTATCTTTTTTCTTATTGATGTGATGTATCATATGGATTGATTTGCAAATATTGAAACTTCTTTGCATCCCAGGAATAAATCCCGCTTGACTGTGGTGAATGATTCTTTTTTTTTTAATTTAATTTTAAAAATTTTTAATAAACATATAATGTATTTTTATCCCCAGGGGTACAGGTCTGTGAATCACCAGGTTTATACATTTCACAGCACTCATCATAGCACATAC